CCCCCCCCCCCCCCTCCCGATTTTTTTCCCAACCCACAATTCTTTCTTTAACACAAGTGACAGTTATTTGAAATCAGCGCGCGCGTAAAGCTGGTTTCGGTGAAGTTTAGCAGTTTAGTTTCATATATTGGTCACCTTGAGAAAAGTTTCCCGGAGAGCATCATGTAAAGCTCTGAGATGGGACAAAGTTATTACGATTCGCAGAGTCTGCATCGTCCAGTATCGTATTATATTCTCGTTTCATTTGGCTAAACGGATCAATCACCCTGATCCGGGTTGAGACAGAAAGGTACGATATTGTTCGCTTTTCTAAGGTGACCCTAAGTCTTTGGCCTCGGGAACAGGCTCTTAGTCATTCGTGTTTTTGCATGTTGCAGTTTTCATTTATTTGTAACCTCTTGCGAAAATGAAATAAACTAGCTTTCCCTCTGAGTAAGAATTTTATTCCCCATCGAATTAGTTCCCCTTTCGCCTCAAAAAAATAAATAAATAAATAAAAATCGGCGACGGGCGCTAAGTCATTGGGGATCATAGTCCGGCGTTTTTTACCCTGCGAGCAAGCTCGCTCGCGAGTTCTCGCGAGACTCGTTTCACTCGCCCAAATAGGAGAGCTTGCTCGCAGGCTAGGCGTATTTGGGCATGCTCGCCTCATAAGTTAAATGAATTGAAGGATGCCCCCAAAACATTAAGCTGCCATGGATTGCAAACATTAAATCAGAAATCTTCGCGTGTTCACGAATTAACTCTTTTACTTTAAGTTTGTCCCTACAAGATCGCACAATTTGAGTACAACCAACCTAAACAAAGTTCTTCATGGTGAGAAAATAATTAATAAACTCAAACCAGTCATCAAACGGCACTACCAACTTGATACGCCATTTCCAGTTCGCTTGATTGAACAGTGTTTACCTCGCGTTGGCGACGCTCACCCTCTCCACTGCAGGCGGATTTTAACTGACACCTTAGCAATTCTCTGTAGGCTTGACGGAACTCAGCTATTCTGAAACAATAAATCCACGGGTTTAGAGATGAGTTAGTGAGCGCCAAAGTCCTTGCCCAGTTATAAGTAACACCGAAGTTTTCTTCAGCGAATGCGGAGCGCAGGTACAATAAAGGAAACCAGCAAATCGTGAAAATAACAACAACGATCGCTATAGTGACTGTCACACGACGCTCAACCAGGTACTCCGAGGATCTTCTCTTCCGACAACGTTTTAACGTGGTTGAGCCGTGTTTTGTGATTTTGATGACAATTAGAGTGTAGCATACGATTATCGCTATGTAACAAAGTCCGACGGCAACAACCGTGAAATAAGACGTTGCTGCTTTGCTGACCGTCAAGCGTAACACGCCGTAAACGGCGGGTAGCGCCCACGCGATCGCCATCGCTATCTTGAAGCGCTGTTTTGTTCGAATCACTCTGAAATTGTAAGGCCTTAGGATAACCAAGCAGCGGTCCATGCTTATGAAGCACAAATGAAGAACTGACGCCGAGCATGAGATGTTTGCGATCAGACGGAACGCTTGAGACACAGTCTCATTGCAATCACCTCTGATTTGAAGACCCAGGAAAACTGACAAGAGAGGATGTCCAAGGGCGGTGGCAAGTAAATCAGCTACAGCCATGCTCACCAACCAGAAATTCGAAATCGTTTGTAGACTGCCATTCCAATAAACTGTACAAATCACCAACACGTTGCCAACAGTGCCAATGAAGGTCGACAAAACATTCACAACTATTAAACCATAAACGTGCTTTTCAGGCAGCAAATGGCAATGCATCGTGCTAGCTAATTTAAAGGCTGAATATAGCATGGTCGAATTCATTTTTCACTGAAGGAAGATTTCTGAAAGAATTAAGAACTGAGCCGTGGATTAAACACCAGCCATGATAGCAAGAGTCTAAGGCGGTTACAGGTCAGCTCAGAACGTTATACGTTTGGCGTTTTTCTTCTTTCTTTGCATGCTTTTCTAATTTTTTTTATGCTTTTTCCTTCTGTTTAAGTAGTTAATCCAACTCATAAAAAAATAATTTTCAGTTCACGCTTAATGGATCATCCCTTAAGATAAAATCAATGAATAATAAAAAAGTGAAGTTTTTTTCAACGCGTTCTTTCTCTTCAATCTTTTCTACTTGCTTAAACAGATAATTCAACTAATTAAAAAAATAATTTCCAGTTTGCCAGACGCTAAATGGATTATCTCCCAAGACGAAACCAATGAATAATAAAAAAAGGAGGCTTTTTTGTTGTCTCTTTTTTTTAAAAGCAAGAAGGCCTGAATAGTTTCGCATTCCATTATATAATTAATTAGATTCACAAATATTTTATTATCAGTGGTAAACTAGAGAATTTGACTTTACTTTTACCAACGGGTATGGATGTTAGCTCAAGAATTTGGGTGCCCAGAAAGTTTTCAACTTTAAAGTACAAAAAATAATAATGAATTTTGTTATCACCATTCATTCAGCGCTGTCGGCGCTAATCGCCATATAAAGACATGTGGTACACACACGATATAAGAGCAATAATTCGTGTGTCAAAATGGATTCGAGAAAAATCAAATCCTTTTAACTAGTCAAAACATAAAACCATGAAATATTATGCAATCAGAGAATCGTGACAGATAACAAACCCTCGCAATCTCTGAGTGTACAATGTCAAAGATTATACTTCTATTTTTCTTCAATGAAAACTGATAAAAAGTGAATTTTTGCTGAAAGGAATTCGAATTATGCTGGCTACGCGCATCTTTTAATTTTAATCGTTTGGCTTGTGGTTGTTGGCTTGAAAGATGGGAAACGTATATTTCCGATCCTGGTGGTATTCACGATTGTTATAAATAAAAAAAAGTGTAAAAAGTTGAGTATCTATTTTATCGTTCTCTATACAAGGAAGGGTGTGTCAAGGAAAGTCTCGATAACCTGATCATGAATTTCAGTCGTGTTTGGCGACGATTGCATCACAGAGGACCAAAAGGCGGTCACCTCGGCCACGTAGACAATCACGAAATTATTTCGAAGGATGTTTTGTTGTTGTTGTTGTTGTTATTATTATCATTTTGGATTTTTCGATGAACTTAAATGTAAGCGGAGCCCCATAGCTGAGAAAATTTCGTTGTGTATACATTCGAGAAATTTTGGTTGTCACGTGCCCGTCCGTATGTTCGTCCGTCCGCACAACAGGAAGACCAAGGTCAAAAGAAATGTCACACTTTCTATAGCTAGTGTAGGAGCCCTACCAGCAACGTGATTTTGTACATCCCTGTTGTGGTCAATTGACAGCTATTAAATCAGGGTATCCGCTGACCAGTAGCACATGACCGTATCGCGGGCTCAGGTGTCGACCCATTGAGCTAACGTTTTTTTTTAAAGTTATCCGCTTAGAATCGCAGGTTCAACTCTAGCCTGCGTAGCTGGCAGTATTGTGTACTAGTCGAGTGAGATTTGGCGGCGAAGCCGCCACGAGAGGCGTAGGCCGCGAGAAATAGAAATAATATTTCAAACGCCTCGTCCCCTGACTCCCGTTTTTGGATCACGGCTCCGCCGCCAAAATTTTAATCACGCACCGAGACAATACCGCCAGCTACTCAGGCTAGTTCAACTCCAATTGGACTAATTTCTTCTTTGTGGTTACAAGCCTATTGTTTAAAGTAAACTGCAAATTTATGAACGTGAGCTTTGCCTTTACCCTTGGCTAAACCTGTATATTGTAATTTGTGTAGCCTATCTAGGACCATCTAAAGCTAGAAGTGGTACTGAAGAAAATCCTCTCTCCAGAAGTAAGTGCACAACCTGATGCAGTATTTTATGGTGTTTTGCAATCTCTTCGAAATTTGAAGCCAATTCAGCTTAGAGATTTTATAAGCTCTACTATTTATCCTGTTCAGATCGTTTTTGGACGAAGGCTTTTTAACCGGAAAGTAAT